AGCTGATACCGAGACTACCCATATCAGGGTGCGTACTTGAGGATGAACTCGTTAAAGACACGAACGAAATCGGGGGCCCATTTCTTATCGTCGCCACCACCTTGAGCATAGAAAAGATAGAACCTTGCAGAGTTTCCGCTGACCTTGCGGAAGTTGGCGATGAGCTCGGCCAGTCTCTCAGGGTGGATAATCTTGCCCACGTTGGAGGCATCGGCCACGTTGAGGTAAACATCACCACGGTTGTACTCCTTCGACACGTCGGACTTGAAAAAGTCTAGGAAGGTCGTGTCCTGACCAGTCCAGTAGGCTTGCCTCCAAGAATAGGTTGCCATATTCTTCGTCTCCGAAGATGGAGGACAGTCGAGTCGACCCGCTTCACTGAAGTAAGCAGCGACGACGACAATGACGAGGAGGAGAATGTAACGCATCGAGTACAATCAACTCTAACGAACGGGAATCTCAGGGAGAGACATGTCGAAACCGCCGCCACTCTCGAGGAACAATCTCAAAGGTTTCACGCATGCTTGCGTCACGCAGAGAACTCTGCATTTGAGACGTGGAGCCTAACATGTCCCGATCCAACCGGAGGCAATATTGGATTAGTTTGAGCTCAATCCACTCAGATTTCACTCATCGTGTGAGACAAACCTTCGCAACTACCCCTTGTTGTCAGCTGACAGGGCTACAGTGAGTCCATCATGAGACCCTCAGTGGGACATGACACCGTTACAGCGGGGCTGATCCGCATAGCGGTCACCTATCGCAAGATGTGGCACGCTGAACTCCACGTGTTTGCTGTGGTGTGTTGTGGGTCCAGTTTGCCTGCACCCTTGTAATCTCATCAAACCTTCGCCTTCCTCAGTATAGCGAATGAGCCCAATATCGATTACTGTGCTGCTAAGTCTGTGGTATTCGTACAGAACTTAAGTGCAGATAGTGCGCTTATTGTTATTGTCCTAGGGTCGTAGTATTGGTTGCTCTAGCTCGAGTTCCCTTGTTGTGTTGTTCTTAGAGTTCATCAACCGATACCCCGACACCTTTTTGGTAGCAGCTCCTTGTTACGAACGATTACAACTACGAGATGGTTGGTTCAGCTTCTGGTTCTATCCCCACTCCGTCCCGAGCGGAGGGGGAGGGCCCTCGGGCCCCCTTGATGCGTCGTGATCCTGAGGAGGCAGCTCAGGAGGCCTATGACGAGTTCATTCGTGCCGAGTTGGGTGAGGCGGCGGCTAAGCAGGCGGCCGAGATGGCGAGGCGTTCAGTTGAAGAGTATAACCGCGTGTTAGAGGAAAGGTCGCCCCCTCAAGCGACCCCAACACTGAAGCATCAAAGTATGGTTACTGAGTCGGCTGAGGACAACAAGCAGGCCGAGTTATCACAGACGAGAGGCACGTTGGCGCCTCTCCTCACTGGTCAGACGTTGCAAGTGGTGACCGCCCAGATGCCGGAGAGATATGATGGAGCCTCCGACCTAAGGATCTGGTTCCGAAGGTTTGAGGCAGATGCCAGGGCGGCCGGTTGGAACGAGCACATGATGGCCGAGAGATTGGGTAGCTTCTTCAGGGATTCCTATTTTGACACTTGGGATGAGAACGCTGGCAAGAAGGACTTTGCTGCTGATCGAGAGATGATGTTACAACTCTTTGACCTGATTCGTCCCGACGAGGCCCTGGAAAAGTTCCACGCCTTATCTTGGGACGGGAAGGGTCATGTCAGTCAGTTCATGGCCATCTTGAAGCGGGCCCTGGAGGAGTACGACAAGATGTTACCAGCGGAGGAGAAACTTCCCCCTTTGGTTAAGAGTCGTATGTTGTTGGATCGGCTTATTGCCTGTGCCCCGGAGGGAGCCAGGCCGGTTTTGAGAAGACGTCGACCTAAGGGTATCACTGAGGTCTGCCAGATTATAGAGGACTACAGGGGGAAGCAGTCTCGGACGGCCAAGCACGCTGCGGCGGCTGTGTCCGAGGATGAGCATGCGTGCCCCGGGGCGGTGGCACAACCTTCCCCAGACAAGGACAAGCAGTTGGCTTCGCTTATCGAATCTCAGACTAAGGCTATCAACGCTATACATACTTCGCAGAATGCCCTGCTTGGGTCCCTGAAGGACATCCTCAAGGCTCAACAAGATCCTGGTCGTAAGGATAAGGACATGCGTGCAGGGCCCACGCAGCCCAGGAGACAGCTGATGCCGTGCGGGCTCTGTGAGGGGAAGCATGCATCCTACAACTGTCCTCATAAGAAGTTCAGTGAGGGTTGCTATATCTGTGGTTCTAAGGCACACTTGTCCCGCTCGTGTCCTGAGCGTCCAGCTCTGCTGGAGAAGATTAAGAAGGGTGTGACGCCGGAACAGGGAAATTACTAATTTCAAATTAGCGGGGCGGCCGCCCAGCAGCCCGCGGTCGCCAGTCGCTAAAGTCTTGACCCCTGATGATCATAAGAAAACATTGACTTTGTACCCTTTTGGAGATGATTCTGGTCTATTCTTGTCTGTACAACTTGTGTCAAATTTTCAGTCTGTTGGCCCTGTTCGCTGCCTCGTGGATACTGGCTGCTGTGCCACGATGGTAGCACGTGATGTGATTCCTGCTGGCTGTGAAGTTAGCCCCGTGAATGGGCCGTCGTTGATTACAATAGATAAGTCCTCTTGTAAGATTATTGGTGTAGCAACATTAGCGATTAATCTGATCACAGCAGCGGGGGTGGGGGAGAGAGCCCGCTCCACTGCTGATGAGCTGAGTATCCCCTTTTTGATTACAGCTTTTATTGTAGAATCGTTGGCGTTCCCCGTGATTTTGGGGCACGACTTCTTAAAATATTTTCAGCTAGATATATTGTATTCGGAGAAACCGGTGCGTATTATTGGTAGGAATACGAAGGCAGGCCCGCCTGGTATTCCATGGTTGATGCGAGATGCATTGGACGCCGTTGACAGAGGTGTACGGTCGAGGCGGTGTTGCCAGGGTGGCAGCGCGACCTCCTATATAGATTCTGTGTTGAGCAGTCCTCCTTCGATGATGGAGTCGGTGTCTCCAAGGATAGCTTTGATGGCTGCACAACAACGTCAAGTACTAGAAACTACTGGGAGATTGGTAACGCAAGGTGTCCAGACCGTTTACTCCGAGGGAGAGGTGGTCACGGGTGGTGTCGATATAGGAAGCCAGACCGAAAAATTCTTGGTTGAGGACAAGGCCAATACTGAGGCATCGGAAAAGGCTGTGGGCGAGGATGTGGCCTACAATGATACGTCGAAGGGTACGGTCTCGGTGCCTGTTCAGGATTGGTGCGAGAAGCCTTGTCCCGAAGAAGAGATAGAAATCGACTGTGTGAGAGAGCCAGAACATTATTGCGTGGGATGTGCAGCTGCATTTGCCCATTTGGATGTCTCCACCTTCGATCGCCCTTGTGATATTTGCTCTGCCCCGACTGGGTGTGCCGGCCTGAGAGCGGATGGGCCTCTCATGACTAATGAGGAGTTAGAGAGAGCCAACTTGAAGCTCCCGGCCGAATCACAGGCTAGAGTTCCCGGCACGTCTAAGCCGAAAGGGAAGGAGCTTATTAAGGGAGAGGAGTGGCCCCCAGCTGCTTGGGAGCATGTAGGTGGTTTCGAAGGAGATGATATATGCCAAGATCCCTTACGGTTTGCGGTCCCAGATTTTCTGGACGAGACGGTTAAGTTACCAGATATATGTGAGAGCCCTACGGAAGCGCAACAACCAGTTGCCGACTTATGTGAGGAGTTCAAGGATCTCTTTGTGTTACGTCCCGGACGTTGTACTCAAGCTGAGCACTCGGTCGAGACTGGGACGACTCGCCCAATTTGTGAGAGGATAAGGCCTATTCCTCACAAGTATCGTGATGAGATCTCGGCACTACTGAAGGAGATGGAGGAGCTTGGAGTTATTAGAAGGAGTACGTCGGCATGGAGGTTCCCGTGCGTCTTCGTTCCGAAGAAGAATGGTAAAGTCCGGATGTGTATTGACTACAGGAACCTCAACAAGGCATGCCATACTGAGGCGTACCCTGTGCCCCGGCCCGACGACGTGCAAGAGCACCTGGCTGGTGCACGAGTGTTTTCGACTCTCGATTTGAGAAGTGGTTACTGGCAGATCCCGGTTCGCAAGGAGGACCAACGGAAGACCGCCTTCTGCCCCGGTCCAGGCTTCCCATTGTATGAGTGGGTGATGATGCCCTTTGGTTTGGCAAGTGCCCCGGCTACCTTCCAGCGATTGATGGATGCTATTCTGGGACATCTCCCTTTTGTGAGGGTCTACCTTGATGACGTCCTGATCTTTAGTAGATCCGATGAAGAGCATCTGGAGCACTTGAGGATCGTCTTTGAGCTTCTACGGGCGGCTGGTATGACGGTGGCTGCTGAGAAGTGCGAGTTTATGCAGGATCGAGTGACCTATTTGGGTCACATGTTCAATAGTACTGGTATGAGTCCCGACTTGGGTAAGGCCGAGGTTATCTTACGGTGGCCTCTACCTCGGACTGCCCCGGCCCTTCGATCCTTCTTAGGGCTGGCAGGGTACTATAGGAATTTTGTCCCGCACTTTGCGGATAGGTCTCGGTGTCTGTATGAAATTGTGAACTACTGCACGAAGAACAAGGTTGTGGAACTCGGAAATCAGTGGGGCAAGGAGGAAGAGCTGGCCTTCAATGACCTGAAGCAGTGGATAGCCAGCCTCCCCTTGTTGGCCTACCCAGATTTCTCGAGACCATTTCAGCTCATGACCGACGCCAGCGATGTAGCGATAGGGGCTGTGGTGGAGCAGGACGGAAGGCCTTTAGCCTTCTTCAGCCAGTCCCTGACCCCTACCCAGAAAGTCTGGCCGGTGTATGAGCGGGAAGCCTATGCTATCTTCAAGGCATTGGAACGGTTCAGACCGTTGCTCTGGGGTTACCATTTGGAGTTGGTCGTCTTTTCGGATCACAAGCCTTTGGAATGGATACAGACGGCTACGACGGCGAAAGTGCAACGCTGGCTCATTAGTATGTCCCAGTTTAAGTTTAAGGTATTTTACAAGAAGGGTAAGCACAACGTCGTAGCTGATGCCTTGTCCCGGATTACTACATCCGACGACAAAGTGGCAGAGCCAGATCTTGGAGCACTCCAGCGTGAGCTGCAAGGTACACCTGCCCTGGTGACAGATAAGTTGTTGACTGACGACAGGGAGGCCGACGTGATGGAGAAGGACAATTTTGCCCCTGCTTGTGTTCTCACCCTCTGTGAGCAATGGTCAACAGCTGATTTGGTACGTGAGCAAGAGTTGGATCCTGTTCTTCGGGTGGTGAGAGATAGGGTCCGGA